TGCAATGGGTAATGCGTAGGAGCAATTTATGTTTTATCCACTTACATGTATTAGTGTAAACCACGATTTAGGTAATAATAATTTCACAGATGAAGAGAGATCTCTGTCTCGAGGTACATATACAGGATATTGACTGCAGAAGGAAATCACAAGCAAATTCACAGAGGTAGAAAGCATTTTGTAGACTAGAAGGAAATGGGCTTGATACAGGTAATGGAGCTGCAGGTGAGCATGACGGGACACATTGGTCAAAGTTATGTGAGGTCCTGGGGTGAAAGACTGACACACACACACAGTGTATACTTTAGGGGACTTTGGCAGCCATGGACACGCCATAGGATGTATGATTAGGATACTAGGATGGCAGGATTAGGATGAAGTCTAAATCAAATTAATCCAATAAGTATACTAGAGTAGGTGGAAAATGAAGGCAGAAGGACCAGTTGGACTCTACTGTTAATGGTTAGGCAGGTAGTGCATGCAAGGGTAATAGTGAAGTGGAGCGGTCATCCAACAGGCCCTCCAGGTGGAGATGGCATACAACTTTATGACTGGGAACAAACGTTAAGATTAAGGATCGGAAGACTCAAAGAAGCCCGGTGCTTTCAAATATAGCTAGGTAACGTTAAATCCTTTCCTAAGAATCAGTAAGAAAACCTTACCGGATGAACCTTCTCACACACACAAACCTCTCCATTAGTATGCGTGACATTAGAAAGAACTGAGGACAGTAGACTTCTGAGATGTCTATTTATTTCATGGTAGCAAGTAATATGGAACAACACATATAAAGCAATCTTACCTCTTTGCTATAATCACTGTCAGAATCGCTACTAAGTTCCTCAGTATTCATGTTTTCCAAATCGGATTCCCCAGGTGCAATTGGCACAGTCACTGTGAGGCTAGGATTATGAATAAATGAGTGATAATCACTCTCTTCCATCAAGTTTCTGCCCATGCTGCTTCCACAGCCACTGCTTTTCTCATTTTCCTTGTGGAAATTGCTGTCTTTGCTCATTTCAGCAAGTGTACGGTTTGAGATGCAGTTTTCCTTTTTGCCATTTAGATCTTCTGCTGGTCTTATCTCCTGGGAAAGCTTTGGCTTCTTTGAAAATGCTTTCAGAATAAACTCACGTGCAGTCTGTTTCACATAATCTATCCCCTTTTTAATTCTGGCCACAGCAATCTGGAGGTTGTTTGCATCAGGATCTTCTTCAATGGCCGTGAGATTGTCAGAACTGAATGAACTCAACAATAAAGCAAGAAACAGGTTGAGGACCTACATCAGGTAGGGGAGGGTGCCGAGAAATGGGAGACAGGAAGTGAAAAGAATAGATAAGGATACATTTCTTAAATATAGCTTGCAACACAGACTAGATTCCTCACCATTCTCTATACAATAGCTTCTGAGAACTCTGGGAGGCGGAGGGTCAACCATACCCAGGAAGAATTACCACGAAGGAGCAGGGGCTGCTCCTTCAAATTTGTCATTTTAAAGTTCATTTCTGTACCAGGGGAACTTTGGCCTCTTTCCCTTTATTAAATCTTAAAAATTTCCTGGCATTCACCAAGAATTATTATTTTCTACCTGTGAGAAATACATTAAATATGAAAACTGGACTGTTATTTATTGTGCTGAACCATTTAGGCCAAGATCCCTTTTCACTTTTCCCAGAAGATAAATATTACTTGTTGCAATAAGGAGCATATAATATTTATATATTTGCATTATTATATATACTTATATATACTATTTATGAAATAGTCTGTCCTAGTATTGTGCCAGCTTACCACTTAATGTGGTTTTTAAAGCATAAAATACAACCTGCCCACGACATTTGGCTAATATCAGATTATAAGACTGATTGGCTGTTTTCGTTGCCTATCATTTTGGCCCTGGCAGGAAGCAGTTATAAAAGAGGTTAACTCAACATTACAAAAAAAAAAAAAAAAAAAGAATTTTCATCTTTTTCTTTCAAAGAAGATATGTAAGTTTTATTTAAACATTATTTTATATAGGAAACAAAAAGATAATCAAATTACCATTTGATGCAAGTCTCTTTGTTCCCCAAATCACCTATCCCACATTTAGAAAAATCAAAATTACATTGGAAAAGAAGTGAATCACCCTGATTTGGGCCACATCCTAAACAACTTGTCAGAAACATTAAACATAAAAGAGAAAGTTAAAACTATGTCAAAGAAAATTCTGGTGAGGGGAAATAGGAATCATTTAAAAATTGTAATCACCAAGGGATCTTAAAATAGTTTAATTCTGGTCTTTATTCTCATTGAAAAATATACTTCAATATGATATATGGGTTTGAATGTTTGTATTTTGTTAGGATTATTGACAATGACCTGAAAGTCTGTTTCAAAGCCTCAGTCTTAGGAGACTCCCTCTTCAATATTATCCTTATTTCCTCACTGAGAACAAATATATCACTTTCCATTGACAATCATAACAAGACTAATATTTTACCATAATCTAATGGATATCACACATAAAATAAAGGCCATTTTGTAGTATTTCTTATATTATATTATGCTAGAAAATAAATATTCATTAAATATTTCCTTTTAAAGTCTCATTTTGATTAAAGAATTCTCATTTTCATAGAGAAGGGGCTGAAAATATTGAATAAATAATTGATCAAAGCCCCCCCCAAATCTAGTTTTTATATATGCATCAGTAAATAAAACATATATAAAATACTTCTGATCACTGTTGGTTTTTTGTTTGTTTGTTTTGTTTTTTGTTGTTGTTGTTGCTTTTTTAGACAGGGTCTCACTATGTAGTTGAGACTGACCTGGAACTCACTATGTAGCCCAGGCTGGTCTCAAACTCACAGTGATCCTCCTGCCTCAGCCTCCCGAGTGAGGCAGGTGCCACCACACCCGGCTCATCTTCTGATCACTTTTATGTGGCATGCCTTTACAACTTATTCTTCTAATTATTTGATTAATCATGAAAATTTTGCAAGATGGAATATAAAAACTAATATATTTGTAAAAAAGTACAAAACTTAAGCTCAGAAGAACCAAAGAAAATACGTGTTTTATTGCATTATTGGAAAGATTTTGATCTTATATAAAACTAGAAAACTTGCTTATTACTGTAACTTAAGGATTATCAGTAATTGCAGAATGGTAATGATGTATATTTTTAAACAGTGAAGGTCTGTAATTTGCATTTCATAATTCACCCTATATTTCTGGCACACTGTCATTTAGTACATGATTTGATAGATGTAGATTTCTATGCTAATTTCTGACATTTTTTAATATGGGGGCTTCAAGGACAAAAACATCAGGAACCTTTTTTTTCAAGGTAGTGGGAAGTGAAGGTACCCACCTATATATGTACGGTTATTACCATACCCTACCTTCTGGTTATTACCTGACAGAAAATTTGATGCCAAATTGACCATTGAGAGGAGCCAACGTAGTGGATTTCAAAATGGAGGTGAGTGGCTCCTGGAAGATCATCTCAATTTTCTCCTACTTATAAGCATGAAAGCTTTTAGCAACCAGTACAAGGAACAAAGTGCAAACAAATGCAAGGTGTTAATGTGAAAATTGCTGTGTAAATGAGAGGCTAAGGACCATTAGTTGACAAACTTTCTCTGTAAAGGGCTAGATAATAAATATATTGGGCTTTAGGAGAAATAGAGTTTTTATGGTAGTCATTGAACTCTGCTGTTACAGTGTAAAGAAAGGATTAAGAGATGTGTGGAGGAAAGAGAAAAGGAATGAAAATATGGTGTGTACATGTAACAACTTCCCACTAAGACTGTAACTATTATTTACCACAAACACATACCAATAAACTAAAAAAATAGTAAAAATACAAAATAAAATAATAAAACAAAAAAACATAGATACATATAAAGGAATAAACACGTCTGTGTCCCAATAAACTTTTATTTATGCACACTTTCAATGTTTTTAATCTTTTGAAATGTAAATTTCTCAGCTCAAGACCATCCTAAAACAAGTGTTGAACTGCACGGTAATTAGTCTTGACTGCCAACTTGATTGGTTTGGGACACCTAGAAGATTAGCTAATCACACTTCTCGGTGTATTTGGGCAATGGAAACATGACCATGGGAATTGTGTCTGGCCCCTGGTACCTTCACTTCTAATGCTCTTCCCCTGTTTGCTTCTTGGATGCCGTCACGTGGGCAGCTTTCTCCCACAACACCCTTTGCCATGATGTTTCTGTCTCAGAGCCAGCTAACCATGGACTGAAACTTCTAAAACCGTGAGCCAGACACTTCCCTCTTTTTATAAACTGCAGTGGCAAGTATTACGTCCCAGCAATGGAAAACTGAGCAATATAGATTGGATTTGGCCTGTGACCATAATTCGGTGATCCTTGCTATGGATGTTAAGCTTGTGACTCTAGTGTGGTGTGACTGGTACTTTTGTGTGCTTTGGAACACTGCCACTTCATTTTGTTCTTGCCAATTTAATCATGCATTATTTACTAGGATAGCTTCACATCTGAAGAGACTTCACATTTTTTAAGACATCTGAAACACCACAGATTTACTTCATATGACATGACTATCAAAATGAGAAAATAAAACACAAACTTTACCATTATGGTTTTTAAAAATATCAGTAAGGATCATCTGGCTAGGAAAATTAAGACAACATTTTTTTTTTCCTTTTCTGTTCTTTTGTGTATTAAAGTCATTGGTATTTATTTTAGTAAATTCATAAAAATAACAAATAAAGTCACCATGAAATAGTTTCTATGAAGCATTTTAAATTTGTGAACATCTGTTACATACCACTAGATTCCCAATGACCATGACCATCATGTAAACAATAAGGCACATGGTTTGGCCAGCGACCTCCATGCAGTCCCACATGGTCTCTATCCACTCTCCACACAGCACGCGGAACACGATCAGGAAGGAGTGGAAGAAGTCGTGCATGTGCCAGCGTGGGAGTGTACAGTCCTCATTGATCTTGCAGACACATTCTTTGTAGCTCTTCCCAAAGAGCTGCATGCCGACAACGGCAAAGATGAAGACGATGATGGCCAACACCAAGGTGAGGTTGCCCAGAGCCCCCACGGAATTGCCGATGATCTTTATCAGCATGTTCAGGGTTGGCCAGGATTTTGCCAACTTGAAGACCCGGAGCTAAAACAGCAAATATCGTTTAATATTATTCACATAAAAATTTCAATGTTTCCAATACTGAGTTTTTTGTTCTAAGTTTAAAACAGTATATCTCCATCTTTCATTCACATCTATTTTCAAAATTTCTGTTATTTTCTCCACCATATATCTACAAGATATACTTGAATTGTGTTTAAGGTTGTGATAAGAGCTTCTTATCCTGGCTTTAGGTATTAAAATTTTTTAGGTATTGAAATTTAGGTTTTAGGTATTAAAATTAACAATTTAGCCATATTTTAATTTTGTGATGCTTTTTTTATTTTTCATGCTGATATTCATAAAGCCAACTGTTTTAAGAAAAATTGTTTTTTTTCTCCATTAAGTTTATTGGTACATTTTAGGCATTCATTGCACTTATATTTATCATTGGGAGCTTGTACCTTTACATGATATATCTTGGTTTTTATTTTTTCCTCTTTCTCCTGCCCTCCTTTCAACCCTATTTACAGAGACATTGTTTCCATTTTTTTTCCTTTTCTCATATTTTTTCCTTTCCCCTCCCACTTCCCCTACCCCTTTAGACATTTTCTGTTTTACATTATTGATTATACATTTTGATACTTATTTACATTTCTAGTTTCTCACAGAGAGAAACTATTTGGTATTTACAAACATGCATGTCCTATTTATTTCACTTAAGAGTATGGCCTCAAAATGCATATATTTAGCTATGAATGTTTCTAGTTTCTCCTTCTTTATGGCTGAGTAGTACTCCATTTTATAAAACAACCACATCTTGTTTATCCAGTCTCCAGTTAATGGGCAATTGGCCTGTTTCCAAGCTTTAGCTATTACAAACTGTGCCTCTGTAAACATGGGTATGCATATAGAGCTTCTTTTAATTCCTTTGGGAAGATACCCAGCAGAGAAATAGAATGTTTTAAAAATATTTTAATACATATTTTCTATCAAAGTCTTTGGGGACAATGATTTGAATATCAACTATCAAATCCATTAAGTTATGACATATTATGGTCAAAATTATCTAAACGTTTGCATGCTGGGCAAAAAATGCTTTTATTGGATATTCTTTCAATTTCAGTAGGACATGTGCTCAAATTCCTTTAATTAAAATATTTATGCAGTTTTAAGGTTCGGGCTAAGCACATCTATTAATAAGTGGACTTTCTTTTACCAAATATCAAGACCCAGTCTTGCCTTTTGATTCAAGTCCTGAAAGTTTGAAATAACAATAATGCAAACCCAAGACACTCTTTTGTTATAGAATATAATGGTACGGTTAGTTTGTACTTACCAGTCTGAATGATCTCAGAACTGATAACCCTTCCACATCTGATAGAAAAAGTTCTACCAAGCTTAAAGTCACAATAATGCTATCAAAAATATTCCAGCCTACTTGGAAATACTCATATGGATCCATGGCAATTAATTTCAACACCATTTCAGCTGCAAAGATTCCAGTAAAGACCTAAGTGAGAAATACATTTTTCTTGTATTATTATAAGGTATGGGATCAACATAATAATGACAGTGACTATCTACTTGGCATTTGCTGAATTCCAGAAAATATGTTGCATACTTTGCAAATGGACATTATCTTACTTCATCCTATAAACAGATGTAGCTATTCCTATAGCTCTCATACTAGCATCAAAGAGTTCCACAGCTCTGTATTCTCAGTTCTAGTCATCATGAGACACAATTTAAAAGGAACATATTAAAATTCCAGAGAAGTAAAACTTTTGACAATTAACACAGTCACTCTTTGCGTCACAAGTCATTTTAGAAGGAAATACGGATTGACAGTGCAATTTTGAACCAGTCTTTTATCTGGTCTAACTACTCTTAGAAGAATAAAGAACATGTTGACTCACTCTTTAAAAGGTTTATTAGTAGAAATGGAAAAAGTAACTGGCACAGTGATAGTTGAAGTGAGACTTCTAAAGCTTTGATACAAAGGTTCAGTAAAACATGATTAATTCATGACAAAGGTATCAAAGGACTCACCTGAAGTAACAGTGAAAAACTTGCTTATTTCTCATTTGAGTACACTATGACTCAAGAATCTAGCCACAAATTGTTAAGGGAAATAGATCTATAAATGAATTAGATAATTTACAAATCTACTATCAAGAGATTAGCAGGGAGGCACCTGAATTTGATGTTGTCATGATAGATAAGATACATAATGAAACTTCGGAGTTTACATAATGTAGCAAAGACAGGGAGAAGGCACAGGTGTATGTGCTCAATAATTTAAAAAATAGTTCTGCCTTTCCAGAGATAATTAGAAGGAAAGAAGAATACTAATTCAGAGAGTTAAAGGTTTAACTCTTCAATAAAGTTCAAAATATCTATTGAAGAGTATATAATTATTAAGAGCCAGAATCATGATTCAAATCCAGTTCTTTGGGACATCAAAGGCCTAGATTACTTCACCAGTATTATAGTAACACAATGCATCTGTAGTTCTTTTACAAATATGTGAAGTGTATTTTTTTTTCAGCTTTAATTGAGTTTATTGGTACATTTTAGGGATACAGTACAGTTACATTCATTGTTGGGATCTTGTACCTCTACATGACAAGTCTTGGTTCTCATTTTTTCCCCTTGTCCCTGCCCTCCCTTCACCCCCTCCTCCCCTCCCCATCTACAACCATTTATTTC